AGTTTAATGAACAGTACACAAGGGTATAGATACTGTATAGTTCATTTCCATTTTTTGATAGATGAGTTTCTTTCTTTCTTCTAAACACAAAATACAAAATTGGAATCTCAGCAGTTGGCAGTAACCAAAGACTTTCAAAAATAAAAAAAACAATAAATCAAAAATAGAACATTTGAAATATTTTAGCTCCTGTTTCAGAAGACATCAAATGACCCACCGAAATGAAAATGTCCTAATAAATTGAGGTTTGCCATCACAAGAATACATTTTATTTATATTATACTGTTGTATCACGTAAATATGATGTAAGTATGTTAAATTATAGCATCTCATATAATTAGTTTTAGTGCTGTTTTTTCTTTCTTTAATCATATAAATATTGCCTTGACATGCTTAAAAACCTTTTCATAAAACATTGAAATTTGGTCACACTTTAATTTACTGTGTCCTTTTTACAGTGTAATTGTACATTTAAGGACAGGGCAATTTTTATTTACGACATACATACTATAGGGGTTTTGTTTGTTGGTATTGTTATAAGATGCATATACTTATGCATTTTTTTCTGCTTTTACTATCAGCTAAAATATTCAATAACAAACTTTTGGAAATTTAATGTCGCTACGTTACATTGGCATTAACTTGTAACTGTTATTATGTAATACAGTATATTGCAAGCTAGTATCCTTTCATATAGCATGTATTGTCTTAATAATAAACACACTTTGTTCCTTAGTTTTTCATTTGTGACACTGAACTTTTTTTTTTTTCCAAAAGCCAAAAATTCATTATATGGGTCAAAATTATCTTCTTTTTTTGCCATAAATCATTAGGTGACATGAAGACAATTAGTAAATTTCTTACTGCAAATATATAAACATTTCTTTTGATTAGTAATGGACTAAACACTTCATTTGGATAACTTTAAATGTGATTTTCTTAGTATTTAGATTTTTTTAAACCCTTTAAAAATTTATTTATTCAGCTTTCACGTGATAAATGTACTGTATATGAATCACAGTTTAAAAAAAATACACTTATGATTGGCTTTGCGGTCTGGGGTGTAATTTCTGTTTTGCGTCACAACTTAATTCTGTTTTTCAATAAAGATAGATCATTCATACAAGTAAAACTGTAAGCGTGTAGGTTTTTGAAGGTTTATTGAGTTTCATTTTTGTGTTTACAGGAGGTTATTTTTCTGGTGGGCAGCCGGTTGACTTCATCCAGACAGCCATTCTCACTCTGTGTGGGCAGGTTAGTGTTATGTTAGCTGTAGATAATTCACAGACCCCTTCAGTAATTAGTGTATTAGTGTAATTAGTCAGATGCCCTCTGACTATGTGTGCAGCTGAAGGATGACGCTGTGGCATTGGTTGATGTTTTCGCTCCTCCTGACTTCATCCTCAACTCTCCCATTGGCAAAGCGGATGGTGAGGTAAGAAACATAAAGAAAAGTCCACAGTCCTGTGGAATCACTTATGTAGATAAATGTCCTCCAAAAGCTGCAAAAGTGATCATCTAATATGCAGTGACTCCACAAAGGTTTGTCTTATCCATTTTTGCAGTGACTTTTAATTAAGTGGTCAAAAGGTAAGTTTTAGTCTTTTATATAATTTTGACAGGACTCTGTACCAAACCTTTACTTCAGTACCTTGAAAGAAAATAAATCATTATGTGTTGAATCTATAGGCATGAGTAATCAGATGGATTTGTGTGTGTGTGCAAAAAAAACAAACAGGGGTTCGTTCTTCATATATGGATTACTCAGTTAGCTAGATTTTGTTATTGAGGATTTGACATGATCCAGGATCATTTCATTCTTCAAAGTTCATCTGAGAGTTGTGATCATAGCAACAGGTCTGATAGCTCAAACCTGCTCTGGAGCAGCAGCTTATTTTATATAAACAGGGTTAGACCAGGTCAGTTCAAGCAAAGGTAATATTGAAAATATGAACTGGATGCTGATATTGTTTTACAGTTTCACTATCAACTCTATTGTGTGCACATATTTACTTGACCAATCAAAAAATAGTAATAATTATTTTTGTTTGTGTTCAAAAGTAAAGTCTCCTATGCTCACCATATTTATTTATTTTGTAAATACAATAAATATAGTATATATTTATCTTATGGAATGTACAGTACATCATTACAAATAAAATATACATATAATATATATATATATTATATAATAATATATAATATTTCACTGAATTATTTTTATTTAGTATTATAATAATTATTATTTTCACTATTATTGTGTTGCATAGCTAATATTCCAGCAGTCATTTCTCCAGTCTTCAAATTCTCATGATTTTTCAGTAATAGCATATATTAGACAACTAATGAGAAAGTACAATATCATGTGTTTTTTCACACTTGAAAATTAAAACTGTTGATATGATTACATACTTGTATTTTCTTGTAAGTACACAACCTGACAAAAGTCTTGTCACCTAAAAGTTTTAGCAAAAACAAATAATAACTTCTAGTTAATCATTTGGTATTAAAAGTGGCTTAAATGACAGGCAAAGGCTTCTAGATTACGCTTATTTGACCACAATTAAATATGATCATGGCTTGATTTTGAATGATTTCATCAGAACAGTAAGATCTGAATTTGCTTAGACAAAAGTCTTGGCACTGAACAGAAATAATGTCTAGTATAGACTATAAAGTCATGCAGCAGTGGAAAAAGAATGAATACTGTGTTTGACTCCCATGAGCTTGGAGGACTGCATCCATACATCTCTGCAATGACTCAAATCACTTATTAATAAAGTCATCTGGAATGGCAAAGAAAGCGTTCTTGCAGACTCCCTGAGTTCATCAATATTCTTTGAATTCATCTTCAATGCCTCTTCCTTCATCTTACCCCAGACATGCTCAATAATGTTCATTTCTAGGGACTGAGCTGGCCAATCCTGGAGCACCTTGACCTTCTTTGCTTAGTTCCTCTGCAGTATTTGTGATGATTGGGATGCAGTTCACATGAAAAATCTAAATGTTCATCAGAAAAATCTACCTTGTGCCACATTTCCAAATGATCAACTAGTCAAGTTATTATTTGTTGCTCTTACAACTGGGATTGATGACAAGACTTTTGTCAGGTAGTGTACGTATGTATATATTACCAGAAGTACATTTCATTTATCAGTGAATGTTTACAGAAAGAAATACATAAGTATACCCAAAGATTATGCTTTTAAAGATACTGTATATATATATATATATATATATATATATATATATATATATATATATGTGTGTGTGTGTGTGTTTGTGTGTCACAGTGTAAAACATAATCTTTGTAGTCTTATCTGTATTTTGCATGTGTTTGTGTAATGTGTATATGTTGTTAATTGTCAAGAGTAGCGTTGTGTTTGTGTAAAAATCTCACTTTCATTTCAAACAATAGCCCATATCATCTTCCCCTTCACACTCAAATAACCACTGACACCATTTCTTTTAAACATCATTTATTAACCAAACATAGAAAGTTTACATACACTTACCAGTTTCCATTTCACAGCAGCAAACC